ACCGAGAAGGTTATACTCTACTAAGATATAGGAGTATAGACCGACCTAATAGATCCGCTCTTAGAGGAATATACTAACTAGTATATAGCTACTAAAAAGAAGAGACGACGAGTAGAGATTTAAGCCTAGTTAAATATTAAGAAGGTAACGATAGAAGAGGTTAGGAAGAAATAGGCAGACTTTATAGAGCGGTAGGCTAAGGCTATAGTAGTACTTAAGTAGTAAAATAACCTAAGTAATATTACGCCTAAGTAGTAGATAGCCTACTAGATAATAGGTATCTAGGCGAAATTAGAGTAATAGTATAAGGGCGTATCTTTTTCTTTTATTTAGAGTAGACTATAATAGAATAAGGGAAGGAATAGTTAGAGGCTAAGCTAACTAATAGAGGAACGGCTATCTCTATAAATAACCTTCCTCCTTTATATAATTATCTATAATACCAACTTTATAATAGCTCTGTCTACGTAGCGCGCGTAGCGAATAGTCGATAACTTAGTAATATTATAGCCCTAGTAATAACCTTCGTATAGTACTATTATAAAAATCTAATATAGGTAAAGTCCTATATAAGCTATTTAATAGATAGGCTAGCTAATCGCCTAGGCTACGTATATCTAGAAATGTCTAGTATTTAGTATCTAAATAGTATATAGGCTATCTAGGGCTATAAAGCCTCTAAGTAGTTTTAATTTATAAAACTCTAATATTTATACTATACTAAAACTATTTACTATAGGAACTATTCCCTATTTCTCTACTAGAACTACTAGGTTCGATTTTTCTAGATATATTCGCTATACCGTTATCGCTTATAAGCGTAAAATCGCTCTAGATAGCCTCTATAATAGCCTCCTCTACTTCTAGTATAGCTTTAATAGAACCGAAGCTATATTACATAGAAAGGAGTAATATTAACGAATACTAGCGATCTTGGCAACGGAAACGATAAAAGAGCCTGCGCTAGCGATACGGAAGGGGAAGGCGGGGTAGTAGAACGCGTTACCCTCGCTACTTCCCCGAGCCCTAGCTACCCGCCCGAGCCCTAGTAGATATACTAATGTAGAATCGTCCTAAATTAGATTACGTGCTGTTTCCACCTATTACATATTATATCCGTTCTTGGATAGTGTTGTTAACAGGCGCGGAGGTCGCGCCTCGAATTCGCGCCTCGAATTCTACCGTAGACCTAAAGTTCGCATTTCTTCCCCCTTTTGTAGCAGATTACCTAGTAACTACCGAAAATGGCTAAATCTCTATCCTACGACGAGTTTCTCGATGAAGTTATCGCCGGCGGCGGTAACGGCGCGGCGGCGGCGGCGGCGGCGGTAGTAGAAGGTATAGAAGGCGCGCTCTCGGCGGTAGTTATTAAGTCGTAGAAGGAGGTAGAAATAGAGGTGGAAGGTATAGAAGGCGCGCTCTCGGCGGTGGTTATTAAGTCGTAGAAGGAGGTAGAAATGGAGGTAGAAGGTATAGAAGGCGCGCTCTCGGCGGTAGTTATTAAGTCGTAGGAAGAGGTTCAATTTGTCTCGGAGACACGTATTCGAGGCCGCTCGCGCTTACTGTCGCTGTCGCTACCGCGCGAGCGTATTAATCTGCTAGAATATCGATTAGTATCGCCGCGACCTCAAAAGCACGAGTTTGTAACGATTAAGCGCCCTCGTAGGCCATTGCCTCGCTAGTCGTCGTTTCCTTCGAAGAATGCGCTCGTACGCTATATTTAGTCGTTTAGTATAGACACTAGATTCGAGTTTAAAGAGTAGAAACCTAAGAAGAACAAGGATAGTATCAAATACCGCTATCTCTACGTCTGCGGCTACTTTAGTAAGCCTAACAAACGCACCTAGATAACGACTAATAAGGCGAAGAAGAAGACGAAGAAGATTGGCTATAAATTCTATTTCTACGCTATTGCTGTCGACCCTCGTACGCCGGATAGTAAGTAGTGTATTCGCTACTCTTCTAAAGATATACATTGCTAGTATAACTATAGACCTAACGACGTTGTCTTATTAACTAATATGCGTGTCCGTACGAGGTCTTAGCAATTCCTTAAGTAACTAGAGCGATTACAGTAGTTACGAATGCCAACCTCGAAGATTATAGCCTATTTCCGAGGCTAGGGAGTTATTCTAAAGCTATACGACGTCTATAATATTGCTTTCAACCGTAATACTGTCGCTCGAAGAGAGTTAAACTAGGCCGAGAGAATGGTTAAGCTACTAGACGAGAATTCAATCTTCTACGAGATAACAACTAATCCTAAGAATAGTGTAATTCGGTTAATAGTTGCCCTCTATCTACGGTCGCTCTCTGCCTACAAGGATACGCTATATATTATCTATTTAGACACGACTTACAGCACCAATTTATACAACCTCGAGTTGCTAGATATTGTCGCCGCTAGACCGATAAATAACACGATTAAACTCGGTGTTAGCCTTGTTAAACCGAAGCCTAATAAGGCGGCCTTTATATAGCTATTGCAGTCAATCTGGAATAGCTTCGAGAAGTATAGTTGTCTACCACCTATTGTCTTTAGCACTAACCGTAAAGCGGCTCTTATGTTAGCGATTAACGAGGTATATCTAGAGTCTAAGAATATCGTCTGCGACTAGCACCTATAACAAGATATATTAACTCGAGTACGCAAAGAACGAGGCGACTTTGTATAGGTAAAGGCTAACGATAGCTCGTAGACTAATAGTCTAAGGACTACTCAGTTTATGAAGCTGTTTACTTATATAGTCTAGAGTTAGTCCGAGGAAGAATTTAACGACAAGGCTTATAAGCTAGATAACGTGTTTCTATAGTTCAAGTCCTATTTAAACAATAACTAGTAGTATTATAAGGAGAAGATTGTCCACTACTAGACTAACTAAGTAATGCACTTTAGCTGTAAAACAACGTTACGAGTCGAGGCAACCTACGGTCGGATTAAGGAGTAGTTAAACTATAGCAGTCGGTACGATATCTTTACCCTCTTCGAGTCGCTTCTTAACTAGTAGTACTAAGGCTACGACCGCCGCCGAGCTGCACTCGCTGACAACCTGAAGCGCTGTTCTAAGGCCTTAATCGGTCTATTCTAGTCTTCTATAACTCGAGTTATTAGCGACTATTGCCTTCTCGAAGTATAGGCTCTATACTCGCGTACTAACTCGCTTTTAAAGGCTATAGTTAATGCTAATAGCAACGAGATTAAGTACTCGGCATACTCGTATTCTTATCTACAGTGCCGCTATAACGACTACCTATCTAAGACCTATAGCTATCCGTGCCTTTACGATATTATAAAGCTTCTAGAGACAGAGGGTAGCCGTATAGTGCTATTGCCTTCTCACTTCTACGCTTACTAGTTTATCGACTTTAAGAAGGCACGGCTCTTTAACTCGCACCGTATTCGAGAGCTATAGGTAATCTATAGCAACCGTAAACCTCTTACTAGCGGAGCGACGTTGTATACAACAAAACGTATAGCAACGGCTCGAGAATTAGACGACTTAAATAAGACAGTAGTCGCTAAGAAGCAGAAGACAACAATACTAAGAATAGCGGCCTTCGTACTCGAGCCTAGCGTATCGCTTACTTAGTTGCGGACGACTATTAAGCACTATAAGTGCGTAAAGAGCCAATGCCGTACTTAACAGTATCCTTACTAGAAGGCTAATCGACTATATAGCTCTACCTACTACCCTTCTAGCTTCGAGTGCTATAATCTACGTTAAGAGCCATCACTTCCGGTTAAACTATAACTATAACCTCCTTCTAAGCTAGACCTTCTACGGCAAGAGCTTAATAACCTTCGAGCGCGTAAAGAACAGCGCACTTAGTAATAGATTAAACATAGCCGATAGTAGGCGGCGTTATTTGAACAGCAGCAACGACAGGCTGCTTAGCAACACTAGCAACAATAACAATAATAGTCACTTATACAGCTAATAGGACGGCCACTTTATTACTAGGTGCTATAGCAATAGCACTATTAGTTCACTTAGTAGCAGCACTATTAGTTTACTTAGCAGTAGTATTATATGCAGCAACAGGCTAGCTAGCAGACTAGAGACTAGTATAAGCTAGTATATATAGCCTCGCGTAGTTATAAGGCTGCAGGTCGTAACCCGCTTAGACCTAAGTAGATAGCAACTAACAACACCTTGAATTTTGCTATACTACTGATTTGCTAACAAACTTTAGCTTCATGGCTAGCAGTAGTGGTTGCCCGGTCGGTAGTAGTTGCGGGGATCCGGAAATCGCTTCCCCACGCGATTTTGTTAGGAACAGCGGATTCCATAATCCACTGTATCACTGGGGCTCGGGCGGGTAGCTGGGGCTCGGGGAAGTGGCGAGGACGCGTTACGCGAGGAGTCGGCCGGACTTTCACCCACCCACCGACATGGACTGGAATGTGCCTCCTGGCCTCGCCGCGCGAAAACATTCCCAACTGCACGCTTTCTCTTTCTTCTCTTCTCTCCTCTACCGACACCGTCACTCGACGCATCCGCAGACAGGCACGCCTGCCTCGCACCCCTCTCGCTGCGATGCCCTGATCAACCGATCTTCCTGCTCGAGCCATCCGCCATCCTTCCTCTGATGGCTCTAGGTAGTAGGATCTCCCATCTTCGATGACGACCTCTGGCAGCGGACCTTCAAGAGCTCGAACAGACTGCAGCGGGGGCACCAATGGCCGAGCGATGGGCTCTTCCTGCGACTGGATCGGACGCTGTGGTCGAATGGATGGGCGACGGCGTGGTGCGCGCGGACGGCATCGGTCGGCCGGGGCATGCTGCACGGCTGTAACACGTCTGCGGCCTCTCGACGTCCTCGAACGACGCGGTGAGACGTGGGAGATGGGTACGACGAGACGCTTCCGCGCAGCCTGCGACATTACGAAGGAGCTCGCGCAGGGTGCATTTGTTGGGCGAGAGCGCACGATTGCAGCGACGTCAGAGCTTGTCGACATGGCGCATTGCGTACGCCGCAGGCACGCGTGAAGCAGATATATGCCCTACGTGCCCGACGCAGGTCTTCGCAGGATCGCATCCGACACTTCACGAATCTACACGACACTCTCCCATTCTTACCTGTCTCCGACTTCTACCTTTGCATCCATAGCCTCCTCGGAGCCGCGGCCAGAGCCACGAGCGCATGCTATCGCGCCGTCTCAACCGAGAAAGTGCTCAGTCTCGACGAATGCTTCAGACACGCCACCAGCCCCAAAGGCACTGCAGGAGCGCCGGACTGGCGCCAGCGTGACCGCAACGGACTTGATGAGCGATCGAGAGAGCACTGGTCTGACGGGCAGCTCTGGTAAGGAGAATAACGACACCCGCCCGACACCCAACCGTAGGCTCCTACAATCGGCCTCGTTCGTTGGTGGTACCTCTTCCACGCGCGCAATGGCCTCAGCAACGTGTCTTCTCGAGTCTCTCCCTGCAGAGCTGTCTAGACTCCCGCTGTCCCGCCCGCCGATTCCACCCCGCACGCCCGTGCCCTCTACAACCCCTAGGTCGGTAAAGAAACCTTCTGTCCAAGCCTTTGTACCATATCTGTAGGCCGTTGTTCCCATTGGTTTCCCTCGGTTTTCTAGCACATTGCCTAAGTCGCTGTCTAGATTAGTAACTGTCGTCGACAAATTGAGCAGTTGACTGGCAGGATTGCCTAGCGATTTGGGTAAATTGCTAGAAAACCGAGGGAAAGCAATGGGAACAACGGCCTACAAAGATAGCGCAAAGGCTTAGATAGAAGAAGTCTTTGCCGACTTGGGACAGGAACGAAGGCCTACAAAGATAGTGCAACGGCTTGGATAGAAATTGGGACCGGGCACACCGGAGCCTCGCCCGAGCATTACGGTAGTGCTGCAGCCAGTCAACACCGACACGGTCAAAGCAGAGCAACGTGGTGCAGAGCCCACTCGGTCGCAGCTCGTACGAGCAGCAGGAAGAGAATAGCTACGGAAAGGGCTACGTTTACAACAAGATCTTCTTATATGGGAAGGATACGATGCATAGGCGTGGAGCTGTCGTCTCCCTGTGGCGTCAGATCTTTCCCAGGGAGTCGGAGCGTACAGTATGTTCCGAATGTTCCAAGACTGGCTTTCAAATAGTCCGGTCGAGCTCAATTAAGGCTTAATCCCCTGAATGCCCAACTGGCTGTGATCGTCTTACTGTTCGAACTTCCCAAAGCTATCATTCTTGTCAGTCTTTAACGAGCGGCAGGTCGTAGCCACTTTAGACGATTCCTGTTGACTACGACTTCCTCAAGATTCGCAACTTGTTACGTACAATCTGGCTGAATTACCGGCTCCCGAGCTCGATCCTGCGGATGGTCTCACGCGTTCGATAGCCAACAATGGCCCCAGGTAACCTCATTCCTACAATACCAGCAGTTCATGTCTTGAAGACACCGAGGTCAGCCATCAACGTAGTTCTTCTCATACGTTCACACGGCGGAGAGCGTCACACGAGATAGGAGGGCAGAGTATGATAACGTGTATTGGAAAATATATAAGCACTCCCGACGACGCCGCGAAGCCGCGAAGCCAACCTGCAAGGATTCAATAACACGATGAACTTGCAAGATTCAGGATCGAATATTATCAGTGCACATATCACGACCGCTTGTGACGAAGCTACTGCTCTCAGCGAACGCTATGATCTAAGCACGCGTATCGCGCTGTACATTCTTACAGTATCAACGCAATTTCTTCCACCTCATACAAGCCGTTCTAAACTGATACCTTCCCTCTCCCTAACACGAAGCCTCGTGATACAGTGTTGAAAGCTTTACGAGGATGAACCTTCACACGCTAATACCGCGGCCACAACGAGTTTTGTTCGCCGGAAATCAGGTCGCTCGGATTCTTTCAATTTTCATTCCACTGCAAAACAACAGGCACTGCTGGTCCTGGCCTCGTTGACGCATCCACTCGAAGCAACATCCACTGCCTCAGCGAGGCCAACAACCCACGGGTAATCGTCTCCATGAAGCTGGGATAATCAGCCATGGGATCAGTCCTCCTTCACAGGATGCAATATCAACGCATGAGAGCAGGACCCATTGGTGTACTCTTGCCACAGCTTTGACGCCTTTCCTGCTATGTAAAAATAGCTTGCCTTCAGCCAGCGGAAGTCGGGAAGTAACGTGCTTTCACTCCACAGAAAACTGGAATGCAAACCACCTGCCAAAATTCGATGGTGACCCTCTGTGCAGCAGCTTGTCAAATTCCTCTACGGAATAGATGTCGGCATCGGGCGTAAACGTAATTTGGTGTGGGACATATACGGCTTTCAGGCCATGTAAAAGGCACTACGTCTCCGCTGTAGACTCGCTAACGACCCACGACCCAACCGTCCGCTGCCTCAGAGATATCAATCGCAGTAGGCGCCGGGAAGTTCGTGTTATGCTGATCATAGCCATGCGTCTTGGAAACATGGTTACTGGTTCAAACCCGTATACAATATCTTCATATAACCAATCCGGGCCTACAGGATCTACAATCGGAGCAAGTGTAATCAGGTCTAGAGACTCCCCTACACCCCATTGCGTAGCGTTGCGAGCTGGGGAAAGAGGGCCTTGCGGTTTGACGTAGAGATAGGCATCTTGGTGAGGGCCCCAAATGCCTTGGCCGTTAGGAATGTCTGCGTCTACCTATGCCAAGAAGGTAGAGTAATTGTTGTTCCACAGCTCATGTATGTACCAACGAGCGTTTCTCTCCCAAAGATTCTTCCGTGGCTGTCGTTCGGCCTACTCTGCAGCATTTGTAAGCATTGATGCCGTATAACTAGTAAATCTTACATCCACTTCAAGCTGCCACACGAAGTCGTACTCCTGGAATGTGAAACTAAAGATTTGGAGAGCCTAGTACGTCTGATTTCTCGAGTTGTAATGACTAACTTTAGGGTACTACGCGCGGAGTAATTGCTCACTGTACAGTAGGGCTAGGTCGCGGAACTCTTTCGGGACCGTGCGCTCTAGTATATTAGTATATATCTAAGCGTCGAACAAGTCAAGGTAGGGATTATATATATCGACAAGGATAAAGACCTCGTATTTACCTCTAGTATCTAAGGCTAGTTCCGCGATAAGACTACGTATCTAGGCTAGCTTATACTTAGTCTAGCTAAAATTATCCTATCCTCGTAACACTACTACTATTCGTCTAGTAGTTAAGAAGTCTCGGTCGCTTACCTCGAGTGCTTCTTCTAGACTAGGAGTTAGTATACGAAGCCGCCGTAGTAGTATAGATAGATTAACGTCTATAAAATTCTTTATACGGCACTTAGCCTAGAGCTATTTCTAGTTAATAGTGTCCTACAGTAGGTAACGAGGAGACGGTGCCGTACTATAGTAATTAAACGGCCCGAGACGATTAGTAGTAGGAATGCAATCTGTCCCTAGGATCTCCGGTATTCTAAGTTGAGTCTTATTTAGTATATGCCTAGTAGGTAAGACACTAATTAGGACTGTCTTACGGAAGCTAGGCTATATCGTATATAGCGGAGATATTGCCGCAGACTTTTGTGTTAGTCTTAGCGTACCTAAGATATTATATAAATATATATAAGAACGTTCGACGGAGTTGAACCTACTAGATTATTAATATACAATTATAGTCGCCGCCTATAGTTATTAGTATCTTACCGGAGAGATCGAAAGACTAGGATAATAAGCATTAGAGACGATACGAAAAATACGACTCTACGTAGTTTCGAAAGCACCGCTAGCGCTATTATCGAGATAATATAGAAAGCTTAAAACACGGCACGTTACAAGCAAGCTATAGGGCAGCTCTATACTAATAGATAAGCGTTCCGGGATCCTAGTTCTGTAATGTTACTCTTTACGGCTAGCTGCTAGACCGGCTATTCCTAGCTAATGTTTAATACCTCCCTCGACTAATATATAAGCTACGTTACCTAGTATCGACCTCTAGAACCTAAAATATCGCGGTCTATACTAGCAATATCGTAGATTCGTATTATCGCTACTATCGTAGCAGTTAGCCTTATTCTTAAGCTTTCCTATCTACGCTTACGGTAGCTTAGCTTTGCTCGTTATATTTATATTCGACTACTAACTCTACCCTACCTCTATTCAGGCGCTTCGTTAAGAGGAGTATATGCTATGTAAGTAAGGAATTCGGATGCACGTAACAGCACTATACTACATTAGGTATAGCGTCGTTCCTCCTCTTAAGCGAAGCGCCTAATAGCAAACCGCTAGGAGCGGGTAGTGCTATAGAGGTCTAGTACTACTACCTTTACAAAGATAGATTTATAGCTTAACAACTACGACTCTAACTATAGTAAATGCATAGGACGGTTCCTAGGTAATATAATAAATTTTCCTACCCCGTTATTTGTATAAAAATAAATCGAGCAATACGAATGTTATAGCTAGTAAATGTAGACACTCTCGATGTGCTAGCTATAGAGCCTACCTAACCTATATACCTATAGATGAAGAAACGCTATATAATACTTAGACAACTACGGGAATCTACCTTTCTAGTGCGCTCTAGAACCTCTAAGTGTCTGCTTCGCTATATCTCGATTCCTTATTATCGCATTGTCGTCCTTTACTTCTATAAGCAAGCCGTACGGACTTCGCGTGCATTACGCGTTTCTAGGGTATATACTCGCCTCTTCGCGTTTGTTCTTTGTTACGTAGTCTCTCTAACCTATAGTACCTCTAGTCTATTCAATCTGCAAACCCGAACACACCGTATACGATAACAAGCTAAAAGTAGCGCCGTAAGAGGCGTAACGAGGAGAAGGCGCTAAACGCGGCTATTAAGTCCGCTCGACTAGTTCATTACTAGGCAGCGCTGCTAGGCCGTGCAGCTATTAACCGTAAGCGCCCCGACTTTAGCATTAAGAAACTAACACTACTTCTAGGAAGACGTAATCGATTCCTCGACTATTTTAAGAGAAGATACGCTAATATTAAGACCGAGAGCCTTGCTTTCGTATAAGAAACAGTATAGGAAGCCGGCTAACACCTAGAAGTAGAGCCTATATAGCGCGACATCATTATCGCCGGTTTAGTAAAGATCCTCGATATGTTACATCTAGGCGAAGAATATTAGCTAATAGAGGCGCAGATCGAATGCCTATATGCGCTTATCTATAGCTAAGCAGACGTTCTAATAATCGCTCGTATAGGAGAGGGCAAGAGCCTTGTATTCTAGGGATTCACCCTCCTAACCGGGATAGTTACTATATAGATCGTGCTACTTAATCGACTCGGCGTAGAGCAGGCTACTACTATCGAGCGCATCGGAAGACTAAAATAGAGCGGTTTGCTGTTAGACCTCTAGTAGGAAGAATTCTTAGGTAGTGTTTTAATTAGCTGTTCGGATAAGTAACCCGTAAGTCTAAGCCCAAAACAGCTGTTACGTGCTAGCACTACCAATTCTTCTCGCTAGAGGTCTAAGTAGAGATAGACTCTACCTACTTTCTACTAGCGATAGACGAGGTAAGGGGAGTAGAATACAAAGCGCGATCGTAATAACTATACTTTTACCTCGCACTAATACTACGAAGCCTTTCTAGGTCTCTTCTAAGAGATACTACGCTTACGTGTCTTCTAGACGGAAAAGTTAGGACCGTAGAAGAGGCTAGTATTATAGAACTAGGATTTCGAGAGATAGAGTATAAATAGTAGCTTATAGGCTATAATCTAGGAGGGTATACTGTATATTATTAAGGTATATAATCTAACTTTTAATTACTACTAGAAAGAACGTAAGATTGCTATACTATATAGTATTTAGAGAGCTATAATAGGATCGCGAGAGCCGGTCCTAAACATCGAATTTAGTATTAAGGTCTAAGACAATATTAGGCTTACCGGAGACAACTATACTATCTAGAGCTTTAGTAGAGACACTATAGACGAGGTTATAGAGCAGGCCTAGCTTATTCTAGACTTCGGCTTCTAGGTAGACGTCCTATTATCCTATACTCCTAAGTATATACTAATCTTGTATTTATAGGCTTATCTACGAGTCGCTAGTATATACGGCAATTTCTAACGCTAGATACTCGACAAGTATAACGACTACGATTTAAAGATCCTAAAGCTTATATAGCGTAGTATAACGAGATTTAATATAGATCTTCGACTTAGGTTAATTTAGTAGAGCTAGGGCTAGGACTAGTTAGACGTAGTTAGTACTAGTATAGATCCTCTCCCGCTTAATATATACTAATATCTATATAATAGTAAGAGGTAGTAGAGGATATATATAATGCTAAAACTATAAAGAATCGTATCTCGATCTCTAACCTCTATAAGTATAAGTTTGTAGTATATACGGAAGGTATTAGCTACTCTAGTAGGCTCGCCTATCTACTTAGCTATTACTCGACGGTAGTTATTTACCTACTAAGATACGTTATATCTTTCTACTACCTTTTGAAATCTAGTAGCTCGGAATAAAACTACGTACTATACGATCGAGAATAGAAGTAGCTTCCCGGTATCGTAGAGAGATTAGTAAACGGATCTTTATAGGGGAAGAATATCGCCGACAATGCCGCTACTACCTTTCGAGATCGATACCTTATACTAGCCGTATAAACTTGCTACTAGAGGGAACTATTTAAGGTTAATTAATAAACTATTATAGCGATCGAAATAGCGCTAATATATGTCTAGGCATAGGCATACGTTACTACTAAGGCGAGTCTTTATTAGGATGTTATATTCTAAAACGGAAGCATAATATACGCTCGGCGGGAGGTAATGTCTTACGAAGAATACTTATACGTACGAGACGCTTTACCGCCTCGCTAACTGCCTATTAACCTCTAACTAGGTTTTTAAGTAAAGACTATCTATAGTAATCGAGGGGGCTTTAAAGCGACTACTATCGCATCTTAGGACCTTAGAACTAATTCCGAGCACCGAAAGGACCGGGTAGCGCCTAAGTAATACTAGAAACACTACCGATAACTATAAGGCAGATTAGGGCATAATTGAAGTCCGTTAAAGTAATAGGGATCTCTTATAGAAGTATTAGTACGACCGAGAGAAATACAAGCTAGGCGATACTAATAGATCCCGCTAACCTCGATAGCTACGACCTATCCCGAATACGTTAAGCTTCCGACTACCTAATAGTATAACGCCTAGTTAAAACAATTAGGTAGGCTATACTCTAGTAGACTACGGTAGCCGCCGTAACTGCTCTAAAAGCTACCGCTAAGCGTAGTACGAGAAAGCTAACTGCGATCGCTATCGAGAGAACTAGTAAAGTTATATTTATCGGAACCGTCGCGCCCGTAGTAATACGTCGTAGCGTACGCAATCCTAGTAGGATATTGTCCCTAGCAAGGACGTATATAACTCGCTACGCTAATAGTATATATGCTATTATAGTATACGTACAATCGATCTAGTTTAATAATAATACGGTACTTGCTATACGAGTACCTACCGTTTAAACTAGAAATTCTACCTACCTATTCGTATATTAGGATGCGATTAAGGCGTCGAAATCTTATATAGAGAAGAGGACTAAGACTAGGGTCGGTAGGGATAGTAGTACCGTAGACGCTATAGAGAGTAGTATACCTCTTACTATAGTCTTCGAGGCAAATTGAGTTTCTTTAGATAGTAGTACGGAGGCATCGTAGCCTCCGAACTCCTAACCGCTAAATAGTAGGCTAATAAATCTATAGTACTAGTCTAGAACGCGGATCGAGGGATTAGAGCTAATACTATTATAGAAAGTTTCTAGAACGAAGTCGGTAGATCGAAACCTGTCCTATATAGTAAGCGGTAGTAATATCTATAAGACTACGAGCAAAATACCGAAAATACCGATAGCAAGGCGGAAATATAGTATTAGCAACCTTTAGCTTATAGTAGTCGGTATAAAGGCGATTACTAGGCTAGCTAGGATAAGGAGAACTATAAGCTATACCTTCCCGAGGAATGTTATATCTTAGTAGTTAATTTAGAGAGCCGAGATAAGAAAGTTAGTTACGCTATACTATGTTCCTAGGACTGCGAGTACCTACGCGGGCTACTACTACTACTAGTCTATTATTATTATTAGTTATAACGTCTCGGATTGCAGTATTAGAATATACCGCTATTATCTAGGCTAGTAACGGGCCCTAACGCTAACCTCTATAATAGTACGTCTAAATATATATTCCGCTAGCTACTAGGATATCTCTCGCGATTTCTAATAGGGAAAATGCAACGGTATAGGACACTATACTTACGAAGGTCTACGAAGTTAATATACCTTATAGTCTACCCTTAATTATTACCTAGCTAAATAGGATTAGTATGCTAGAGACAAATTCATATACTACGACTTGTTAGCTAAGGTGTAACTTACGACGAGCTTAACATTTAGGGGCCGTAATACTAAGAATATTGCAGCCTAGCTCTCGAAAAGGCCTAGGCTACGTTTTAACTCTATTATATAGAGTTTTAGTAAGAGGTCGTCTAGCACATTTAGGCAAGAGACTATAGTACGTCTACTTACCTTGCTTGTACCTAAGTCTAGCTATCGATACTTTATCCGCGGAGCTAGCCTACGCGCTACCTTAAACGTCGGTAAGTATATCTATCGTTTCCTAAGATATACTATCGTCGGCCGTATCTACGCTTAGAGTATCTTCGACTACGGATATTATAAGCTATAGAATAGTACCGAAATATAATACGTAAAGCCGCAGAGCTCTAGCTATTAATAAAGACTTAAAGTCTAGCTATTAGAATAACTAGGGTATCTTGTCCTAGGGTTCCCTACTATAGAAACGACAAGCTTCTCTAGAACCTTATATAATATAAGCTATATTCTCTACTAAATACAGGCATAATCTGCTTCTCCTATTAGATAAGATAGTCGCGCGGGGGCTCTTCTATAGGGCATAATAGTACCGCCGAAACTTTAAAAGAAGGTATAGTTAGCTACCCCGTCTAACTTAAATCTTTAATAAGAGAAATTAAACGGCGATAGTATATTACTTACCCGGTACGTAGTTCTACCGAGATAGGGGAAATAAACGGACAGCCTATTAACTATTAGGAGCTACCTTCTTCTCGACCCCTTTAAGCCTAACTTTAATTAATGTCCGTCTCGCTATCTTGCCTCGAATCGAGAAAATCTAATAGTAAGGTCTAACTTGCAACCTCTACCTTTCTAGTTCCTAGATTATATCTCTATCCTAGAGGTCCTCGCCGAGGCTAATTAGAGTAACCGTATATATAGCAACCTTTATAGATAGCTCTCTATATAGTTTTATAGGCATATAAGCTAAACTCTTTAAATTTCCTATACTAATAATAATCCTACGTCGTACTAATTCTACTATACTCTCTCGTTAATCGGTATAACGTCGCTAAACAAGATAGTAGGTATTAAGCATATTAGTCTACTCTTAGTATTCGCGCTTATTATCGATAAGTCGAATTCTAGATTGCTAGTATACTAGCTATCTTTAGAGTTGTTAACGCCGTATGCTCTCCTCTTATAAGATAGCTCTATACCCGCTTAAGGTCTATAAGAGGCCCCTACTTCGTTGCTTAGACTCTCGCTCTCGCTAGAACGCTAGTAATATGCTTTAGCCGCACTATCTAGATATTACTTATTACGCGTACCTTATAGGGTGCTAGCGCAAGTATTATCTATATTAGTACGATTAGTATAATTGTTAAGCTTCTCGACAAGTCCGCGCGAGGGGCTTAGATTAGCGTTGCCTTTAGTAGTCTTAGTATAAGTCTTATTATATTACTATCTACCGGTAGGGTATTATACGATAGAGGAGGATACTTTGCTATTTTCTACGTTATTTTTGTCTTAATTAGACTTGTAACGAGCCTACGCCTTCTAATTGCGGACCCTCGTCGATATTACGTTAACGAAGTAGAATATACGCGGATCTTACTACTATAGTAGGCGTTCGACGGTTCCTAAATAAGCCCGTCGAGCGTATAGGATTAATCCTCGAGGATATTATATCGGCCTCGTAGCAAATTCCTAGTTATAGCTCTCGTTCTTAGCTCGAAGCGGCTTCGTACGGCTCTCTTCGGTAGCTTTATCTATACCGCTATTATTACTAGTTTTAATACGATACTCCCCCTTATAGTAAAGAGGACTTTTTCCTAGAGCGCTTTATCTATAGGAACGATATTCTTAGCACTTGTAGCGCCTTCCTTGCTAAGCGGCGTCGCTAGCGCGGCTTCTAATCGAATTAGTCTATAGCGAATAGTACTAGTAGGATTCGTACTTACAATATATAGTCTATTACTACTAGCGATAATCGAGAACGATCGGATATTCGAAAACGTTCTACTATATAGCCTTCTAACTCTAGTCGGGCTTAGACTTATACTAGTGCTCTCTCTATTAGTTGCTAATATCGCCTACGAATCGGACGAGCTAGCTATACGATACCTAGACGTCTTTAAGTATAGTGTATTCGCCTAAACATTCGCCGCGTTTAATATAGGCCTTAGTATAGCCGCGGCGCTAGGCCTAACTTTAGCCGGAGTGCTATATCGAAAGCTCGACTAGGGCTTTATAATATTAGTTCTTGCGGTCCTTTACGGCTACGTAGGGATGTTTATATTACGATTTATAGGTAGCGTTAAAAATATAAGAATTCCTTTAACGCGGCCGGAAGAGAAAGTTTATAATAAGACGCCCTTCGAATAGTATTAATACGAGGATCTTAAGTATAGAGAGTTCCGTACTTAACTAGATATCCTCTATCTAAAGCGATAATCTGTCTATAAATACATTAATTAGAAGCAGTAAACAAAACTGCTCCTATAAAATCAATATTATTTCCGGGACGCCCTATAAAGATTTTACTATATATACTAGCCGGTTAGGTCGATTTGCCGCACTCGTCGCTAGATCTAGCTGTAATCTCGCTCGGGAATAGTCCTAGCGCTATCGAATTAACTCGGATATTTAGCTAACAATTCGCAATTTCGATAGCTAGTATCTTCGTTAAATAGATTATCGTAGATTTAGTAGAGTTCGTCGCGAATCGACCTAAGGACTCTTTAATTAGTCTATTAATAGATAGTCTATTAATAATTGAACTAGCTATACTACCTAGTCGTACGTTGCTTGCTCGCTACAAAAGCGGCAGAAATGCCGTAGCAACGAAACAATATATAGCTACGTTAGTAGTATATACGTCGGTATAGTTCTAGAAGGTAGTATTTGCCGCATCGAATAAGTTTAACTTAAACTCGTCCGTATTAATACCTTCGTACATTTGTCGATTACTATATATCCTAGTATTATTAATAAGAATATCGATATATTGCTCTCTCTTAGCAATCTTATTTACTAGTCGGCTTTCGGATTATTAGTTATAAGCAAGAATTCAAATTACAGATATAAGGCAAAAGCTAACCGAATTTCGTCTTTCTATAAAATATTACCGACGAGTAGAACGATAGAACCTTTAATTCTATACCCGTATATAGCAGCAGCTCGTTAGAGCTTAGCCTCTATTCGGCTAATAATATATATAGTATATCCGTTAATAGCGCTACGGTTTATTCTATTAGTAGTAGCTAATTAATTAATTTTGTATTTATAAGGAGTCTTATAGTACCTATATAGCTATAAGGCCGAGACTAGACCTACCGCCTATAACGACTGCAATCTAAAGTACCGTTACAAGTTAGCAAGAGGACTAAGTACACTTAGTCGAGTTATAGTAGACCGGCTATACCTTCCTATTAACGCCGAAGATATTCTCTAGGACAAAATCGGTATTATTAGTCGATATAGTCGCTAGTTATAGAGAGTCTATACGCTCGCTTTTTTAATACGATCTTCGTTATTACATTGTCTGCTATTAGATCCTAGAATCTAGGTCTATCGACTCCTATATAGCCCTAGTATAACATTTAATTAACGTCCTAGTACTAAAACCCGCGATAGTTTTAAGTTTAGAGTAAGGCTAAATAATTAGCGAGCATTTATATTACGTTAGGAGATTCGCTACTAAACATTCTAAGGATGTATTTATCCTAAACTCTAAGGGTACGTATTTTAGTATATTCTCCGCAATCGACCTAGCTAAAGAGCGTATCGCTACGATAGAAACCGAGGACCCGGTAAAATAGAAGGTACTTCCGCGATCTCTCTCTAGGATTACCTAGGCGGGATAAGTAGGATATAACAAGATAATACTACGCGAACGACAGCTATATAAGGACGTATCGACCTCTTTCCTAACTCGATAGCCTTAGATTTAGTCTTATATAGTAGACCGTAATAGGAAGATACCTTTCAAATCCTAGGGTAACGGCTCGTAGCCTATCGGATAGATCTAAGAGCATCTTAAGGCTTTAGGTCTATTATTAATAAAGTGATTAAAGTAAATATTAACTAACCGAGGCGGTCTGAATTAAGTAATATCTGCGCTAACTATTAGTTTCGTAGACAAGATACTTTGCTCGGAAAAACATCGCAAACTAGCTATAGCGGAAGACGCTCGAGAGACAATTGCTTTAGCTTTAGTAGGTAGACCCCGTAGTAGTTCGGGTTGGTTTGGTTTGGTTTACTAAGCCGAAACTCTGGTTTGGTTTAGGTTGGTTTGCTAAGCAACTATATAAGTAGCTGGTTCGAACCATATAATTTATCGGTTTTTAAGAAGTGTACGAATGTATACGTAGCTTTAAGCAAGCCCTTTGTAAGACTTAGCAGTGTAGCCGGCAGCGTAGCCGGCATTTTTAGTCCTTAGTACTTATAGAATTTTCGAATCCTACTTAGGCTACGTAGTTGTATAAAGGTACTTATATAACCTTAAATCTATAGACAATCAGCTAAGGGCACTAACTAATTAAAAGCACACATATATATATACAAGGCATTATAGTTTAGTTCGGAAACTGTACTCCTTAGGTATGAATTTTATCCTTTCGTTTACGGTTCAATTCCCTAACTGCTTAGCAGAATGTCTTATCTAGATCTAGGCAGAACTTATCGATTTCCCTAGGAGTCTCCTCCTTAGAAGTTTATGCACTTTCCTACCGAACTATTCGACAACATTAAGTACTAAAATAGCTCCTCCCTCGATATCGGCATAGTATATAAAAGAGCTATGAGGCAGCTCTATAGAACGTTCTACTAGTCACTCGCTATACTAAGGCCGAATGCTAGTTCGTTCCTTGGAACTCTTAGTTATTTAGGAGATATAAAGGGTAGGGCAGGTAGTGACTTCGTATTGTATAAGGAGGTAGAGGCTGCTATAGAAGAGGCCTTTAACCTATAGAAGATAGTAAAAGATATAGAGGCAGCTACAGGTCTAGGTACCTAGTTAAATTTTTAGTAGGTAGAGTATAAGGATATTTAGAGGGAGTATTAGGTAGAGTTGCGAAGGCAGGTGTATAATATGCTCTAGAAAACAGGGATAGTGCCTAAAACTATAACTATTAGGCTCTTTAACCTTCCTTATTTTTCCCTGTTTTCTTTTTATAAAAATCTAAACTAATACAAATCAACCGGAATGTCTATCTTCTTTTAGTTCTTTGAAAAACCTAGCAGCGTAGCTAGTAGCGTAGCCGGTAGCGTGGCCGGCAGCGTAGCCGGCCTTTTTACTCCTTAGTACTAACGGGATTTTAGGAGACTTCTATTCCGTACGGCTAATAAAGCATACTATACTATGTATATATGCTTAGAGAGTATTTAGAGCGCGGTATGTAGCGCCGTATAATAGCGGCTTATTTCGTATATAGAAAAGCTTACAGATAATACTACGAACATCCTTTCTACTAGAACATCTATCCTACCTAGCACCGTCTCGAATGTAGACATTCTAGCCTTTTAGAATCTAATCGAGTGCTTTGAAATCCTTATCTATAATCGTTATACGCTTCGCGTAGATAGCTATAAGGTTAACCGCTAAAATAGTATTAGTATAGTCCGAAAAGAGGTAGAAGAGAAATATACATTCGAAGATACGAACTAGGTAGGCTTCTATAGCCTCTTAAAGGGCGCCTATCGCGGAGGCTTAGAAGCGAAGGTCCGTTCTATAATCCTAGGCAATTTCGCGAATAAGTCGTTAGAAAGGAGTTTTGCGGATTAGGAGCTAAGAACTCTTCTAATACTACCGAATCTTACGGAGGGCTACGGCTAAAGAAGGATTAGTAAAAAGACAGTAAGAATACCGGCTACGCTACCGGCTACGCTGCCGGCTACGCTACCGGCTATAAATAGGACTTACTTCCTAGGCGCTATCGACGCTTCGCACGATTGCTACTAGTAGTAGAAGCGCTAGTTGTCGTCTTGCGTAGAGCCTTGCCCGCCGTTGTCTTACGCGGAGCCTTACTCGCGACGCCCTTTCTAGCACCGGAGCTAGCGGCAGTAGTAGCAGCCCTCTTACGTTAATGTACTATACTCGTTCTACTATTTCCGGTCTTATTGCGACCCGCAGAAGCACTAGGTCCCTTCTTACGAGGCGTCGTAACTTAGTTAAGTAGACTCGCTATTATAAAAGTCGTCGAATTGAGGAAAAAAGTGCGTTACGAAGGTATACGAAGGCGCGCGCGGAGCGAGGGTATTGCGGAGGTAGTAGATATAGAGCGTAGAGGTATAGGTATCGATACGAAGGTTAAATATAGCGGTAATATCGCGGTATCGCTAGGCAATAGAGTAAGCTTCGCGCAAGCCTATATTATAGTAACGTTAGAGCAAGGAAAGAAGGCAGGCACGGCTAAAAAAGGCAGGCACGGCTAAAAAAGGTAGGTACGGGAGACTTTAAAATATAGCCGGCATATATAGCCGGCATAGTAATAGGCGAAAGCCTCCTTTTAATAAATAGCCGGCGTGATAATAGTATCTTACTATAGTATAGATATTCTTTAGTAATGCCTTTACTAGCTATAGTAATCTTATAAGTAACCTAGGCCTATTGCTAGTAAATATAAGAAATATTAGGTAGGCTATACTAAACAAGCTAGTCATTTAGTAGGAAAAGGCCTACTACCGTCTCTATATGCCGGCTACGAGTGCCGGCTATCGCTCTAAATTTAACTCCGCCCTATCTCGGAGGCTAAGGTACCGAGCGGAAACCCTATAGCTTATATTCACTCGGTTGTCGCGGAGCGCTTATAGGTAAGGTATTAGAAAAGAGTATAAAAAGTACGAGAAGAGTATCCTAGGATATAGGTCGTAAGTGAATAAGAGTAGTACGCCTAGTTATTTATATAGTACGTTACTCTATACGACTAAGAGCCTATATTATCTTATGCTTCGCTTATAAGACCTCGACTCTACTAGTATACTATCGATCTCTTCCTCGGTCGCTAATACGCTGTCTTAATTCTTCTTCGAGTTGCCGGACTTAGTACGCATCTATAGCTATACAATAGCGCTACGTATTATAGAGAATTTCTCGTTAAAGTTTCTCTCTCGTAGGCTTACTATCTGCCTCGCAGTATAGAGGATTAAAGTGCTAATACTAAAGAATCTCCTTATAGTTAGGATACTAGGGCTCCTTAGGACCTTTATATTTTGGGTCTAAATAGAGACGTATTATAAACGTTCTATCGCCCTTTCGCTTACTACCCGCTAGGTCGCGATATACGAAGAAACTAATCTAAATGTAGCTCGTCTCTATAATAGCCGGGTGAATATAGAGCGCTAGGTTTCTACTTCGTACCTTAGATTTAGGGACGGCGCGGAGATAAAATCAGAAATATAGCCGGCACCTATAGCCGGCAAAAGGATGCGAAAATAGGCCTCCTCCTAGGTTAATCTAACGACTAAATACAATTTCTAACTAATCCGCTATAAACCGACGCCGAATTTTAGCTAGAAGCTATATATCTTTATTTTAAAGAGTAACCCGCTTCGTATAGATAGCAAGGAGGTTTAAAAGCTTAAGCTCGGTTACGAGAAATGCCTCCGTAGCTTCCTAAAGAGTACTAATCGCCTTAGCCGTAAATCGTATACTAGACCGAAAATCTAATGTAATTTCTTAGACGAGTCGCTAGAAGGGAGTCTTAGGGATTAAAAGCTCGGTCCCTCTTTTGTTTTAGAAAAGCCGGATCTAGCGAAGGGTAATAGTACCTAGTTTAAAGCGCCGCTTCTTTATCGTCGAGTCCTGCCTTATTCCCTTTCTTTTAATAGAAAGATAACTTTTCTTCGCGATAGTCTTCGTCCGCCTACTCTTTTTAGCCTTCTCCTGTCTACCTATAGCCTTCTTGTTTTTCGGTACTGTTTTCCGAGGAACCCCCTTCCTTCGTATATACTACGGAGAGCCTTACTCTTCCGATATCTCGTTCTCGCTACGGTCTCCCTATGCTTAGCTTGCTTTACCCTTGCCCTTTAGCCTCTAAAGATATTTATCTACGCGTTTAGGCGACGAGGGCATATCGGTAGGACCTAGAAAATTAATAAGCATATAATCGTAAGGAGACATTAATGCTTCTTACCTTCTAGAACAAATAGTCTTCTATTAAACCGCCTTATTAGGTTATCGTTAGATTCGAATAAAGGATAGTAGCTTAAGGAAGGGGAGGTAGCCGGCTTAGGAAGGCCCGAAGAGCCGAATCCTTAAGGTATGTTTGTCTTTAAGAATATAGGGAAAGGGAAGAAGGAGAGGAAGAGCGAATAGAGAATTAGAAATAGTCCGTAGGTAAGCGGGGTCGGTTGCTATAGCAACTAGTCTGTTTGGGTCCTAGGAATTCGAAACACATTTCGGACATATACCGGCTATATACGCCGGCTATATTACCTTATACGTAAACGCTTCGTCTCCTTAAAGCTGCTCTAAGCCTATATACGTTTCCGCTTCTCGACCTAGTATCGCCTTCTACCTCCGCCCTCTTCCTCTTCGTTATCGCTAATTAGGGTTTCGCTTAGACTAAATTTCGCATTCTCTTCGCGCTCCTAGGTTTCTTCGATCTTAAGGTTTTCTAATTCCTCGATTAACTCCTTTAGTATAATCTTTAGTAACCTACCTTAGCGATTCTAGTAGAGGAGATAGTATCGGAATACTATAATAGATTCGAAGGTAGTAGGCGAGTATATTCGATTAAAGCGGCCCTAGTAACGAGCGATACTAAAAGACCTCTTATAGCCTATGCCTGCGCTCGGGATAGCGAGGACGTCCCGAGCGACCGACGCTATCGTTAGAAACTTAGGCTCTAACCGCTGCTATATAGCGAGAATATCGTCTCCGAATTCGTCTAGAAGACCGGTAAGATCTAGAGATTATTAGCCCTCTTTCTAAGCCTACGGGTTTATACTTACTCGCGCGCCGATAGAGATTAAACTCTTCTTTATTTACTTTAGTAGTTGCTTCCTCTTCTGCCTCTACTTCCTACCTACGAAACAGGTATAATGTCGGAGCCTTCTAAACCTTCTTTTTCTTTATAGGAGCTGCATTTAGACTAGTTTCTTTCCGACGCTCGTAGAACATCTTTTCTAGAATAGTCTAGTAATGCTTCGGCTATACCTCGTC